CCATTGAACAATGCTTCATTCCATTTTCACAGAGAAGGGGAATGCAAAAGCACTCTATTGTGCCCTGTCTGGTTGACCTTCATCCAGCCTCGCCTGTGCATGGCCTTCTCTCGTGCTACTGCTCAGTCTCCAAGGTGGTCAGCTAGGAGTCTGGTGGAACCGTGGTCATCATGGGCTCTTGCACCCACTCTGAACCCAGGCTTGCTTTCCGGTTCGGGGCACATCTCCTGGCCCAAGTCTGAGTCCTTCAGGCCTCACTGTGGCCCTGGACCATTCACTACAGGTAGAGTCTTCCAGATGAGAGAGGTGTCTATCTGTTGTTTGTTAACTATAGCACAAGAAAAAAACCCTCACAGAATCATACCTACAGAAAGCCGGAAGGCAAAAGGGTTTACGATTAATAGAAATTAAAATACTATTGGATTTGACATAAGGCAGAATTCTACCATTCTCTTTTTTTCGCTATAATGAATATATTGGGATTTTTTTCCTAATTGTAAACACATTCATTGTAAAAACTGAAGAAATAGAAGCTTAAAAGTTCCTGCTAAGGGCCAGGGATTTAGCTCAGTGGTTCCACCGCCTGCCTCGCAAGCTAAGGACCCAAGTTCGATCCCCCGTACCAAAAAAAAAAAAAAGTTCCTGCTAAGCCCACAGTCTACGTGGACCTTGGCCCACATTTATGTAGCCTTCACGTTCTTTTCATGTGTTATATACATATAGGATTTTTATCTTTTTTTTTTTTTTTTTTTTTTTTTTTTGGTACCAGGGATCGAACTCGGGTCCTTGCGCTTGCGAGGCGGTCGATGGAACCACAGGGCTAAATCCCTGGCCCCAGGATTTTTATCTTTTAATGAAATCATCGTTTACTTAAAACAAGACTGAACAAATCATCTGCTTTCTTAAGTTACTCAGCTGTGAGTTGAAAGAGACTATCAGGGATTCAGTCTTTGTGCTTTGAGATCTTAAGAACATTTTTATATTGAAAAGTTCACATAGCCAGTTGAAATGACTTTGGTTAACTTGCTTTATCTCTAAATCTTTTAACAACCCATTAACTGGTATTTGCTTAAATATTTTAACGTATTTGGTAGGCCCTTTCCTGGTGGCTGGCATCTGCCCGTCAGGCGTAGCCAGAGGTGTGTGCTGGAGGTCAAGGGACCTCCTAGAGGTGCAGTCTGAGCCTCGGGGAAAAGAAGTATGTTGTCCAGATCATTGTGCCAGAAACCAGCATAAAACCTAGGTGGGATTAAAACAGACTTGTCTGAGAAAATATACTTGAATTTTAAATCCTAGGATGAAGACTTTTGTAAGCCTTTTTTTGGGGGGGTACCGGGGATCGAAGAACTCGGGTCCTTAGCTTGCGAGGCAGGCGGCGAAACCACTGAGCTAAATCCTTGGCCCCAAAGCCTGACTTTTAAAGTCATAAAACTAGGAAATGGTGATAGACTTAAAATACACAAATATGCCAACATTGTTCTGATCCCCTCTGTGAGAAGGATGCCATGTACAAAAGCCTTCCATAGAGGCTTTTTACTCTGACAGACTCTTCTATTCATTTGTTGATACAATTGAGAGAAAGCCCTGCGATCTCGATCTCGATCTCCCTTCTCCAGTGGTCATCATAGCAGGACATATTGATTTTTTAATTAGGCTGTGATCTCACCTTATTGGCAGTGGAAGTGGCATCTGCCTGTCCCGCTGAGTAATCCAGCCTGGGGACAAGGGGGGGTTCAGCCTTCACTACAAGGGATTCCCCGTGGTTAGATAAACTGATCTGTTGCTTGGTTAACCACCAGATTACGACAGTGGGTGCTCAGGAAGCCCATGTGAGAGGGATCTGGTTATTTGGAGACAAGAAGAGCAAGGGAGTTGGCAAGCTGTGGGAGGGCTGCAGCTTGGCAGAAGACAGCATGGGCGCCTGTCACATGCTTGGGTTTGAAGGGTCCATCTTCCCATCTGTACGTTGCCTTTTCGGCTTTGGGTCTCAGAACAAAGAAGGAGAGAGAGCTGGCCAAGGGAAATGTGGGTCCTGTTGGTGTCTGTCATGACTACAGGTGAAACCCCAGGGTTGGTCCTGATGTTCTCCCACCTAAGAGATCTGGCTCTGAAGGGTGAAGGCCCTGGCTGCTTGCTTGGACCTCCCTGAGCCTCTGAGTTGGAAGGACATTGATTCAAATAAAAGGATGAGATAGCTAGATGTGAAAATTAAAGCAAGCGGGGCCATCTCCAGGAGATTTTTTTTTTTTTGGTGGTGGTGGTTCTGGGCCTCAAACCCAAGACCTCACACATGCTAGGTCACTGGGCTCCTCCCAGCCCCAAAACCTGCTTTCTAATGGCAACCTCTGGCCCTGTGAAGTCAGAGAACCTTAATGAACATTCCCAGAGGTAGCTTGTCATTCCTGTTGCCCCAGACCCGGGTGCATCTGTCCGTGAGGGGCAGGTACAAGTAACCACCGGAAGGGGCCTGTGGGCTGCCGTTGTGTCTGCAGGGGCGGCACTGCACCTCTTGTTGTGTGTGTGGCTTTCGGGGAGACTCCGGGCCCTACCTGGTGGACCAAGGCCTGAAGGGCTGCCCCCGCCCACATGCTTTGAGCTGGCAGAGGCATCTGCACCCCGCACTGTCTGTAGGCAATTAGTGTATCAGTCACCCAGAAGAGATTCTGGTTCTTACTGTGCTTTAGCAGTGGCAGGAGCAATCATTGAAGTACTAGAGCTTATGCTGGGAGAATATTTTGACTGAAATTTTGCATATTTTGAAACTCAAGTTGTTACATTTAAAATTATACACATCGTGAGCACTTGGCTTCAAAGGAGAGGGAAGAAAAAGCATTCCTTCCTGTCAGAACCTTTTCACTCTGTCTGTCATGTAACCTGACTAAAAATAAACTACAAGCACCAGAAGTGGCAGCCTTCAGTTTGGAGCAGGCTAAGTGCTCCCAACCATGGGGCGCGTCTGCTGCTGGCACCACACGGTGGCCCTCGTAGCTCAGCCCTCTGCCAGAGATGCTGGTGCGCATGGTTCTGGTGAGTCAGACACCCAGTGGCAGGATTGTTGCCCTTCAGGAAGTGGGCGGCACAATCAGAAGAGCCCTGACCCAGTGCCAGGGCCCACAGTCAGTCCTGGCCTCTGCGTGGGCTGGTGGTAGTGTGTGGCATCAGGGACTCAATTTCCTCGTATTTAACTGTGATTGATCACAATCCATGCATCAGTCTCCAGCTAGCACTTTGTATGTCTTCCTCCACTTTATCCTTACAGGGCCTTGTGAGCTCTGTTCTCAGTATCTCCCCGTTTTCCAGATAAGGAAACTGAGTCACTGAACTGAGTGACAGGCCTGATCCTGACCCCAGTGCCTCCCCCTCCCCCTGAGCTCTGCTCTCTCCCTTCCTTGCTCCTTACTCCTCAGTCACCTGGCTCCTGTGCCCATCGTGCTACTGAAGCAGGCCTCAGAGACCGCAGACTCAGCTCATCAGGCGGCATTTCCACCCCCGACCTTGCTGGGCCTTCCTGTCACATGTGACCCTGTGGACTTGTTCATCCTCCTGTCATCAGCCTGGTGGGAGGAGCAGAGGCTAGGAGCCCAGACCTGTTTGCTCTCCCCTTCTTCTGTACCTCCTCACTGAAGGTCGTGGGAAGGTATCCTCCTCGAGTCCCAAAACTGTCCTTAGCTGTGTAGGGGGATGATCACGCAGGCTCATTGAGCAAGGGGCAGGAGATAACACACATAAATCACTGTGCACAACTCAGACAGCACTTGCCTATGCATTTCTAGTACTCTTGCTGAATCCCTTCCCTGGCATACACAAATGCTATAAACCCCTAGCCCTTAAATAACATATCCTAATTATACTCTTGCCTCAAATCTTTTTTCTTGGCAAAGCTTGACTCTCTCTCCCTTTGTGTTACAATAGAAAGTAGCTGTATGGCTGTAGCCCTGTCATGAGCTTATGAACAGGTCCTATTGCTTCAACCCTATTACAGTGGGATTCTACACGCTTTCATAATCAGGGTAATAGCTTGATTTTAGTCTCACTTATGATTCCTGAGTTTCAAAGGAGTTCTGTTATATTTATTTTGACTATAATTTCAGTCCACTTTACCCTCCAATTATTAGTTAGAACAAGAACTCCACAATGCAGCACTATCCTAAGACATTGCCACTGGATGCTGAAGGAATTGCCAGTGAGCCTGTATGGACTTACTGGTCATTGTTTTTGTTGTTTTGGTAAAAATTCTCTCTTAGGAAACATTTTACCCTTTAGTTCTTATCATCACTCTGCTGTATATGATTAAACTTCTACAAATTTCCTCCTCTGATCTGATGAAGTGGTAAGACTGCCATCTTCTGAGAACAGTTTCTGTGTTCAGCACTGGAGTGATTCCAGCCTTTGACATCTTCCATGTGGATTGGAGCAGAGAGCTGCGTTCCTCCAGCACCCTGGGCTGTCTGGCCCCACGCAGAAGGCTGCTGGCTTACGCTCAGTGTGGACACTCACGAGCCTGCACCCTGGCTTGGGTTTCTGAGGGGTCTTTACTCAGTGCTGGCATCTGTGGCTGACCCAGGAGGACATGTGGGCCCAGCTGCCCACCCTGCAGGCCCAAGTCCTCGGCCATCCGGTACCCGAGATTGGATGCTCTCCCGCCTTCGTGTCGGGGTTGGTTTTTCTCCATCCTTTGGCAAACTGCTATATCATACACCTCATTTGCCTTCAGAGTAGGAGGGTGTAGAGTTCTCTTTTTTCCCATGAAAACAACACAGAACAAAGCCTCAGTTTTAAAAATGCCATGGTATTTTGCCACCATTATGAAAATCTGTCAGCGCCGTATCTAATCTTCTGGTGCATGGAGTATCAAAACAAGCACTATTGAAGGGATTGCACTTCTGTTAATACAAAAATGTCAGCTTCCCAGCCTCAGAACCAGCTGCCATCAGCCTCTTTTCCAAATGTGAAAGGAAAAAATACTAAAGTTTCTTCCCCTTGCTGTTACTGTTCTTCAGGCTGGACCTTCGTAAGAAGACACAGAGTCAGCAGCACCTCGCCCAGGTCCTTCGCTCAGAATACTCAAGTGGGCTGGAGGCTGCGGGTGCCAAGGTCAGGAACCGGAGCACACAGGAGGCCAGCAGCCAGCACCCTGCAAGCCGGGGCCGTGGGAAACGTCAGGTGCCTCCTCCTCCTCGAACCATAGGAGCCCGGAGAGGCCAACGGAAGGACAAGCCCTCCCAGATGGTTTTTTAAATCTCTCCACAGGACTGGTCCCAGAGTGGATCCCAGAGGCCCCAGTGGCACTGGGTTGATGTCTTCTCCTCTGAAAAATACTTGTGACACCTTTCCCTGAACACCAAGTCCCCAGAACACACGGGAGCCAGAAGCCCTGGTCAGAAGGAGTGGCACGGGGCCCTGGGCACAGTGCCAGCCAGCACTGACTGCAGGAGGATGTCACATCGAGGCTGTCGGGACCAGGCCCACCTCGCACCCAGCGCACCTGACCTTAGATGGCCTCGGTGGCCACGCCAGCCCATAGCGTCCTGGGATAGGGCAGCCCGCCTGGACTGCAGCCTTGTCCATATAGGCTGCTTGGCTGCTGTGAAGCAGGATATCCAAACTGGATTGGAATTTGTACAAAAAAAGAGAAAATCTATTTGTCAAGCAGTGCCTTTGTTAATGTACACACCCTTTGCTACAAAGGCCCAAGAGTTGTTAGTCTGGGTTGAAAACAGGAATGCCTTTGCTGGGCCTCTCCTTTTCTCCTACAAACACGCTGGTCACATCTGCTTGCCTAGCTCTCCCTTCATGTTCATGGAAAACGCACTCGGGGCTAATTGATTTACTGTTCCTTTTTGGTATTCGCCTTTGAAGTCAAAAGGCACCAGCACCCACCCGAGTTCTTTTCTTCCTCTCATCCAATCCAGACTTGCCTTCGAGAAAGGTCTGGGGGTCTCTGTGGTGACCCCAACCCAGCTGCCCCCCGCTGTGTTTCCTGGGAGGTTGGAGGACCCCCGTGTGTATTGATTTCCCAATAAATGTCAGCCTTGTACACACGGGATGCACCACCCTGTCCAGGCACTGCCTCTGCTCTCTTCACTCTCCTCGCCCCCTTCCCCTTCCTGCTCTGCAGTTCCTGGGCCCTCTGGCTTTTCTGGGATGTGTGCTGAGACGCCCCGGGCCCGCATGGACTCACTGGCCCAGAGAAGGCTTGGGCCTGCAAGAGTGGATCCCTCAGGAGGCAACAGGGCCTTCTGGGGGTTACTGGGGACTGCTGATGAAATTTGTACCAATTAAGAACAGCACATACCCAACTAGCCTTGGGTAAATCTACCATCTTTCTTGTATTTTGGTGTGATGGCTCACATGAGTTGCATGAGAACGGGGGGAACCAAACTTCATGGGTGAGATGCAGCTGTGTGCAAAGCAGGCCCCATGCCAGTCACGGGCGATCAGAGAACTTGGGTCCATACAGGGGAGTGGGCAGGGCTTTCTTAGTGTGAGGACTGTGGCTCCAGGGTTGAAACCTGCACGGTAATTTGCCAACTCTTAGGTTGAGGGTACCCTGCCAGAGATGCTGTATGGGCTTAAATCAGTGGCTCACCCAGTTAATAAAGAAACATGGATTTAGCAGGTTTAGGGTTAATATTGCCTAAATTTAAATAACCTTCAAATAAATCTCTCATCACTCTTGACAGATTATACATTTCAGGCATCAATTAGGCAAAGCTTTAGCTTAATTCCACTGGACATATTCTAATTTTTTGTGTTTTTAATCATGCCTCTGTTTCTGATTTCCCAAACTTAGCTGTTTCTCTGTGACGTTAGCCTGTTACCATGTCCAAGTCATTTGCTGGTGCGCTGTGGCCTGAAGCTTTTCCCCCAGTGGGCTTGTAGAATGCTTGGAATCTGAAGCACCTGGTGTGGTGATCCGCTCAGCAGAGGCCATTCTCATGCCTCCCTGGAGCAGAGATCCCTTGGTGCCGGCTAAGTTGCTGTGTGGATGCGGACAGCGTCCTCCGCCCTTACCAAACAGCGCTTCGAAGGACACTGACAAAGCCCTTGGGGTCCCTTTGATTTTTCTCTTTGCCCCCTAGAGTGAAAAGGGGAGTAAAGGGCCAGGGATTTAGCTCAGTAGTTCCGCCGCCTGCCTGGAAAGCGAAAGGACCAGAGTTTGATCCCCGGCACCAAAAAATAGAAAAGGGGAGTAGAAGGGTCTGAGGTGTCCCAACTGGCCATGGCCTTGTGGAGCACTTCAGCACTTCACATCCGGTCAGTGGAAGCCGTTAAAGTCCTAGGGACAGGCGCAAGGCTTTTCCACCCCGAAGCTGCCCTGCTTGCAAAAGGTGCTTAAGCGGTCTTGTTAGACTGCCTGTGTGACCGTTAAACTTTCTTCATCTGCTCTGCCATAGGAAAAATTTAGAGCAAGGCCTGTCACTGGGGTGGGGCGGGGCCACCCTTAAAACCAGCCAACTCGTCAGGTCCCAAGAGCTCTGTGTCTGAGGCCTGGGGGGACTGAGCTCTTGGGCTCCACTGCTCCTCCCCACCGAGTCCAGGTTTGTGAGAGGGTGAGCCAGCGGCCTCATCCACTGCCCTCCAGTTGGGGGTCCCCTGGGGGCCTCCTCTTCCTCCTCCCTCAAATGTTCCCATCGCCCGGTTGGGAGCAGAAACCCTTAGCACCTCCAAACAGGCACGAAGAAGCCCACCTCGCTGCAGACTGAAGTTATTATTACAGATAGGATGTGCAGGACAATTCAAAGTGCTGTAATTATAAACGTGTAAAGGAGCCTTGTTCTTCATTAATGTAAGATATGAAATCGCCTCTGAGGTACAAGGACGGTGACATAGTTGAGAATGTGTCTGTGATTTACACTGTGGCTGTGTAAATGTAAGGGTGGTTGCTCCAGCCTACCTCCTCCACTTTCACAAAATGAAAAGCACACCAGCGCAAGTTGTCCTTTGATAGATTTTTAATATGATTTTAAAGAGTTTTGTTTGGTCTCATTCTTATTCAATGAGATTAATTTAAAGCACTTATCCCCCGGGTTTAAGTCAATCCATGTAGGATTTGGGCAGGGTTTGTTGCCTGGGGGGTTTTGTTTGCAGGAGGCTATGAGAGACTCCTTTCTCACTTCATTAACCCTGAGTTGGGGACAGGCCCCCCTGGCCCCCACCGCAGCCAGAGCTGGGGATTTACCAGCCCCCATTCACATGCAAAAGAACTCAAAAGCCGAGGGCCCCTTGACTTAATTAGCTGCTGTGCATTTTGCAAAATTAGAATAATACCCTCACCCTCGCAAGAAGAAGGGGGAGGAAACAGTAGCAGACCTGTGAGTCTGGTTTGGGGTTACAGCCTGAACACACCCTGTCCGTCTCCTGCCCCAACTTCTCCCAGAGCTATTCCGCCCGCTGGAAAGGGGGAAGGGGGCCATGGCCCAGCCTGCTGGGCGCCCAGACTTCCCGGGAGGGGCACCTGAGCCCGCCTTCCCCAGTGGGAACGTTCTTGGGAGGTGACCTTGACCCTCAGAACGTGATCTGCAGCCTGGCTGGGGACTCAGAGCCCCCCAGGCCTGACCCTGGGCCCAGACGTGGGGTTGGCTCCTCTCTGGCTCTTACTTCCAACTTCCTCCCAGGGCAGCTGGAAAGAGAGGTGTTTCGAGAGTAGAGGATTATCCAATACTGCATCAGGCCCATGGAGAGGGTGCGTGGGGTCCTAGCAGGCACACGGGCCAGGAGCTGCTCGGTGCCCACCGGTGTCAGACCCCATGGGTGCTGGGGCAGCCGGGCGGAGGGCAATGTGACAGGGAGCGGCCTCGGAGTCCATCTGGCGGCCTGTGCCCAGCGGGCCGGTCACCAGCTGCCGGCGCCCTCGTTGCAGCCAGATGAGTCGGCTCAGCGAGGGCACCACAGCCCGGCGGCAGCAAGGGCGGCCGGGCACTGACCCCCGCCCAGCCCAGGACTGTGGGAGCCTTGAGGAAGCAGATGGAGAGGGGAGGTGGGAGCAAGCTTCCCTCGCACTTCCCTCGCCATCCACACGGAAAGACTGAGGCCTGTCAGGCCGGGCGCCTGCTGCCAGGACACTGCACGTCCAGCCGGGTCCCCTGCCAACGACTGCAGCACCCAGGAAGGGAGGGGGACAAAACTGTCCTCTCGTTGAGGCTAGTAGGAGACTGAGCCCCAGGAGAGGCAAATGGCTCTGCGGAGGGTCGGGCAGGGCCGGGGCGTGGACTGACGATGGGAGCGCGGACAGGGCCTGGTCATTTGTAAGAAGTTTATTTCGACATTTAAAAAAGAGAGAGAGGGAACCCAAGAGGCCTGGCTGCCCCGGGCCGGGACAGAGGTGGACACTGGGGGCCGGGGCCGGCGAGCAGGTCCCCCGGGCCCTGCTCTCCCACCCGGGAAGGGAGGCACGGGCCACAGACTCACTGATTCACAGACACGGTCACGGGCTCGGGGGTCACGAATAAATAACTTCATGTACACTTTGCACACGGTATGTACAGCTCGGCGCCAGCCGGCGCGGCAGCAGGAGGGCGCAGGGAGAAGCTGGGTCCCCCGCTGGAGCAGGAAGGGGGCGAGGGAGCGAAGCGCGGGGCACCCACGGGGCCCGGGGCCCAGGGCGCCTGGGGGCCGGCGGGCGCTGGGAGGCCGGAGTGCGGGCGACGCGCGTGACACCCGGCGGGAGGAGAGGCCCGGGACGGAGCGGGCGCGGAGGGCGAAGGAGGCGCGGCCTGTCCCGCGAGGGCCCCGGCGGCCTTGGCATCGCGCCCTTCGGGAACTCGGCCGAAGCGCCGGGAGGGCCGGCGGGCGCCTCACCGGGGCTGCGCGGCGCGCGGGAGGACGCCGGCCAGCGGGGGCAGCGGTGGGGGCGGCTCGCCGGCGCCCTGGAGTCCGTGAATGAGGATGCGGGGCACCAGCGGCCTCTGCAGCGCGGGCGGCGGCGCGCTCGGGCCGCGGTACAGGTAGAGCGCGGCGCCCGGGTCCAGGTTGGAGACCAGGCTCTGCGGGTAGAAGTAAGGCGACGGGAGGGCCGGCGGGCGCCTCACCGGGGCTGCGCGGCGCGCGGGAGGACGCCGGCCAGCGGGGGCAGCGGCGGGGGCGGCTCGCCGGCGCCCTGGAGTCCGTGAATGAGGATGCGGGGCACCAGCGGCCTCTGCAGCGCGGGCGGCGGCGCGCTCGGGCCGCGGTACAGGTAGAGCGCGGCGCCCGGGTCCAGGTTGGAGACCAGGCTCTGCGGGTAGAAGTAAGGCGACGGGAACATCCGCTGCAGCGCCGAGTAATTGCCTGCCTCGGCCAGCAGCTCCAGCCCCACGGCCGTCTGTCGCTTCCATTTAGTCCTGAGGACGGAAGGAAAAGAGTAGGACCAGACGGGAGTCGTGGCTGGGACGGCGGGCCCCCCCCCCCCCGGAGCTTGGGGCCCAGAGCGCCTGCGGGAGGCAGAGAGGTTTCACCCTAGCCTGCGAATACTGGAACCTCGCAATATTTGCACGTGTTACACGCAGCCTCTCCTTTATTTTTCCCCCTGGCTTTCCATGCTTTCTCCACATTTTACAGATGTTTAAACTGCACTGCAGCATGGCAGTGCGCGCCTGTAATCCCAGCACTCTGGGAAGCTGAGGCAGGAGGACTACAAACTTGAGGCCAGCCCGGACAACTTAGACCCTGTCTATAAATAAAAAATAAAAGAGGATTGGGGATGTAGTTCAGTGGCAGAATGTCCCTGGGTTTAACCGTAGTACCAGGGGCTGGAAAGCGAGGAGTGGACCAGTTAAGATCTAGAAAGCGGCAGAGTCCGGGCTGTCTGACCCCAAAGCTGAGCTATAACCTTCTGCTCTGGGGATCGAAGCTGGGGACTCTTGGAGCTGGGCGCTGTCCCCTGGAAAGACATATGAAGGCCACAAGGCCCAGGAGAGGGAGGCAGAGGTGGCAGGGCCTGGCTGCTAGGCAGAGTCAGGCAATCCGAGGTAACCCTGGAGCCCATCTCTGCAGACACTGGCGGCCGGGAGCTGGCACCAGAGAGGCCCGGTGCCCAGCGCACATGCCTGAGCGCCTCCAGACGGGCACCAGCACCCACAGTGCACCCACAGTGCTGGCCCCCCAGGTCTGGGGCCTGCAGCAAGCCCTGCTTCCTGTCTGGCTCCCATGGTGGCCCAAGATTTAGGGAAGCCGGGCCTGGAGCCCTGGACTCACCTGCAGGCAGGCCAGCCTGCCCTCGGTGAGGTGGGCTCAGCCACGCCAACCCTGGTTCCGTCCCTGAATTATTCATCATCATCATCATTGTGTAATTACTGCAACGGGGCTTCATTATTGATGCCCGGAGCAGCGATCGGTATTTATTATTAATGGGCTGCATGTTCTGAGGCTTGTTTATGGGAAGCGCCGTTCCTGCCTCCGTTAAGTATGTGACTGTGGTACATGTGTGACCTCGAGTGGTGTCGCTGTGTGTCCATGTGTCATGCGGTCCAAGTGTGCATCTCATGTCTGAACCCTGAGGGCGATTTTTGGAAGGTTAGGAAACAGGTTCAAGATCAGCCCCCAGACACCAATGTCCCAGTCACCCCATCCCAGGGAGCTGGGCCCTGCCTGTGCCTGGGGATCAAGGCTGCCACCGAGAGCACTCAGGACCACCACCAGGGCCTGCGCACCCCAACCTCCAACCCTGTGTGCCTGGCCACCTGCCCCGGCCACATCGTCTCCCTCCTGTCCCTACTGTGGGGCTTTGGTCCAGGCTTTTGCCCCTCAGTTTCCCCACTTTGACAGAGCTAGGGAGTCTCAGGGGCCCTTCCTCAGTGCCAGGCTGTGGACTCTGGGTCCCCTCCAGGAGCTGCAAGGAAAGGAGCGGCCTCCCCAGGTTCCCACCGCGGTGCAGCGGGGCCTCACCTGCGGTTCTGGTACCAGGTCTTGACCTGCGTGTCCGTGAGGTTGAGCGAGGCTGCCAGCTCCATGCGGTCCTGCACACTCAGGTACTTCTGCCGCTCGAAGCTGCGCTCCAGCTGCGCCAGCTGATGGTCGGTGAAGGCCGTTCGTGCCTTTCGAGGCTTCTTCAGGCGCACCGGGGGGCTGTCCCGGGAGCTGGAGATCTCTCGGTCGCCCTCCTCCTTCACTGCGGAGACACAGCTGCGTGTCAGGGCCTTGGTGCCCGGGCCCTCCCACTCCTCCTCCTGCCGGCGGGTGGTGTCCCCGTAGGCTCCGTTCCAGGCCGCTGTGGCCCCGCGGTGCCCCAGCACACAGGGGTGGAGGCACCGTTGCTGGAGCTGGGACACCTGGGCACTCAGGAATAGGGCATCGACCCTGGCGAAGAGAGAGAAGCGAGCGCCCAGGGCCAAGACGTCCGAGGCCCCGAGGAATGAACGTGAGCCCCGAAGAGCGCAAAGCCATGTTGTCCCTGCTTCGCTCCAGCTTTGAGCCGGCAGCGTGCACTGGGGGGGGTGGGGAGCCCCAGGGGGGACTGCCCTGGGGGGAGGAGACCCTGGTCTAGCTGCGGGAGCCACGCCCGGGCTGCGTCCGCTCGGCGGCCTCGGGGAGGGCAGGGAGGGAGCTGGGAACCCCGCGATCTGGAGAGAAACCCGCATGAAGGGACAGAATCCCGCTCACCCCGCAGCACGTCATTGTCCTCAAGAACGCATAATTGTGCCCCAGCCTCACGTGACCCCGTCTAGATGCGAATCTATAGCTATGGTTTCCCCCGATGCCTAACGCTGCCTGCGAATTGCACGGTGGAAGGTCGGGCGCCCTGAGGAGAGAGCCTCGAACCAGGGAAAACGAGCGGCTCCGGGCACCTTTGCCCCGGGCACACGCACCGCCGGGGCCTGGTTTTCGCTGTCATTGCTTTGCCCTCTGTGGCTCCCACTGCACCGCGAGGCGATCGCGTTTATGGCCCTCAGTCAGGGCAGAACGGCACCCAGGTCCCCAGTCCTGAGCACCAAAAGTGGACCCAGCATGGGAGGCATCTCCCCCCCTTTCACTGGGTTGACCGTACGGGAACGCACGGGTAACCAAACAAGCTCCCCACTCTGCCTCCTTCTGCCCTGAAGAGACTGTAACCACGCGGCAACCTCTCTGAAACTGACCGCGCGGGCTGGGGCTTTCCCCACCCGTAACCCCCTTTCCCTTTATTTCCTTTTCTGGTGAGTTTTATTGTTCGTGGACAGGGTTCAGCTGAATGCGAGTTGATTTCTCTCTGTAGGAAACAATAATCCGGTTAATTGAGCCACTGGGGAACGGAGCTTTTCAGCAGGAGAGGCTGCACCTCCCGGGCAGGGAGGGCACGAACGGGGCATGGGGTGTGCCCAGGGGCGGCACATAATGGAGAGCACCCCGAGGACAGGCAGCCCAGGAGCCCCTCAACCTTCTGCACACCCTTGCTGGAAGGCCTGGACCCGGAACCATCAGAGACGGGGACCTGTTAGGGTGAGGGCAAACAAGTTCTGCGTGTGTGGTTTGGGAAAGTGAAAATAAATTCGAGGCGATGATTGTCCAAACCTCAAACTTGGTGTCGCAGAAATCTTACTTTCTGACCTAATTGTCTGAACTATTTGTTTAAAAATCCCCTGCTCAGGTAGAGTGGGCCAGCTTCGGGTCCCTGCTCCATGCAGGATGGAGCCTTTGGAGCACACTTGGGACCACACTGTCTGTCTTGGCCTCCGGGACAGGCACGGACCATGGACGGCCAGCCAGGCCTCCACTTCCCACCCGAGTCCACGCCCCAGGAATGGCCCTGGGCTGGAGCAAAGCCCTGGTTTGGTTTCTCTCTGGACCTTGGCTGCAGCCCTCCATGTGTGCCGACAGCCTCACTTCAAAGCCTAGTTTCTTCTTTGTGGACGTTGGGTTTGAGGAGCCTTTGGCCGCAGAAATGCATGAGCCTGGCCTTTCTCCCCTGCCCTCCTTGGAGGAATTGCTCTGGGTGGACAGAGGCTCGGGTGGTTTTAAATGCCCGCCGGGGCCACGGGCGGCTCCCACGGCTGGCTCCAGGGCTCTGTCTTTGGGCCAGGCTTCATAACTCGGCACCGAAAGTCACTCCGTGTTTGACAGAAGCTCCAGGCATAGCCTCCGTGGCCCATTTCCACTCTCCTTTTCACTGGGGGCTTTTCAGGTACAAAGGTGGCAGCCCCTAGGGGTAGGGGAGACCTTGTATCCCCTCCGCTCCAAACCTGTGTAGGTGATGTGTGGACAGTCACCCCTCATGTCACCTCCCTGATCAGGTATCATCAGGGAAGGCAAAAGAAAATTGATATTCCAATTTTCCTAAATGGAACCTCTCAGGAACAAGCTGTCAGTGCACGCAGAGCTGGAGGTTCTTGCCCTGCACGTTAACCACAATGATGGGAAGTTGTGGCTCTTGTTGCAAATTGTAAATAGTAAAACATGTGATGCTGTAAATTATATTTACATCACACACACACACACACACACACACACACACACACACAGGTGTGCACCTGTATTTCTCCAGGACAAGTTTTCTTTGCCTCCCTGCACAAGTCTGGGGGAGGAACAAGGGTCTCCGGGCCAGGGTGCCTGCTCCTCCAGGTCTCTTGCTGGGGACTTGAGCTGAACCTGCCCATTTTCTAGGCAGGACCGGTCTTGCCCGGAAAGGAGGCTCGGCCCCACCGTGCGCATAGGGAAATGGAGAGACGTGGTATGTGGGGTTTAGGTCTGGGTCGGGGCACACCCTCAGATGAGTTCTTGGCTGGGCCGAGGTGTTAAATGAGCTTTCCTAAGTTGTGTGAGGCCTTGGTGGAAGGAAATAGGGGCCAGGAGATGCTGGCCCCAGACAATAAAGGAGTTGCCTTCATAGGGAAATTTTTCGTCCTACGAACAGAGCTTCAGGAATTAATTCTAATACTAAAGGAGCTATGAATAGCCTTTGCTAACTCCTAGGTTTCTGCTGGGGCAGGGGGGATACAGGGCTCCTTCCCTCAAGCCCTATCTAGATTCCCTCGATCTCCTCCACTCTTGCCCCTTAATGTCTTCCCAGAAAGAACTCAAAGCCTCTGGCCCCAGTAGAACAGCGAAAGGTCTAAAACGAAATGAGGACACACTGTTTTTCTTGCTTCCCTCTTTTCCTATTTCCCCCTTCCCTTCCTTCCCCCTTTCTCCAAAGTCCTGATCTCAGCCCCTTGGTTAAGACTGAAAGAAAAGGGATGAAAAACGACAAAAAGATTCACGGGGTAAAACAGGCAAGCAAAGGGGCAGCAGCCCCAGCCTGGGGGAAGCAGGGTTGGTTACCAAGAATCTGGGTCTCCCCCACATCCTGGAGTTTACTGTTCAAAGAATTTAAAACAAAATTCACTGAGGACGCCATGCGGGCTCAGCGCCTTCCCTCCCCACTAGAGCTCTGAACCTGCTCCAGCCAGCCCCTCACTTGCGCTTTCTCCTTTGAAGTGAACATTTCCTTTGCAAGATTCACAGGCCCGAAGAATCGCACTGGGCCCGTGGGAGAGAAAGCCCAGTTTCTTATCGGCAAATTCAGATTAAAGGGCAGAAAATTCTGACTGCATTTGGAGCCTCAGCTGAAAATTTCCTGCCAGGATCTCACCCCTGTAAAGCAGCACCCTTGGGGCCCCTTTCCCTCTGGGTCTCTTACCAGAGACCGAGCGGCCCAGAAGGACCCTGCCCCTGCCCAACCCAGCCACCAGTAGAAGGGCGGTGGTGCCTGTCAAAGTTTTGAAAGTTGGCTTTGCACATTTTGGAGGCTCCGTCCTCAGCACACAGTCCGTCCTCCCCAGTCCCTGCTCTCTCCCCAGCACCCTTTGTTGCTCACAGGTCCAGCCGTGGTGCTGGCCAAGAGACTTAGACAAGACCACTGCTCAGCCTGGCCCTGGGGCAGCGAGCCGAGCGAGTACATGTACATCTTTTCCAGTGCTGGCTCTCAAGTTGTGCACACCCATTTTTTGCAATATACCATCGCCCGAGTTTTCACCTCCTGCTTTCTTACCTTTATACTCAGAGTCTGATGAGGCGTTGCTGCCACTTTTGTCCAGCTTGTCTCTAAAGTCCTCCCCAGCCTTGGCCGCAAGGCGGGCCCCGGGCTCAGGGGCTGCGGGCTGCCCGCTGCTGGAGTAGGGCGCACAGGCCGCGAGGGGTTTGCAGTCGGCGAGGATGTCCCTGATCAGAAAGGAGGAGGTGACGGTGCGCGACTGGGCCGGGCCAGAGAGCTGCCCGGGCTGCAGGTGGGAGTCCAAACCCGGGCCGGATGCCCCGCCAGGCCGCGGGGTGCCCGCCTCCAGACAGTCCCTCCCTGGCGAGGCGGGTGAAGAGCAGTCGCTGCTGCTCTCCGAGTGTGGACTCAGCTCCAGGGGCGAGCGGCAGTCCCCGAGCAAGTGGTCCCCCTTGGGAAGGGCGGGGCTGCCCGCGCGGTGGGAGAGAATGGAGTCGATCCCAAAGCCATTGGAGCCTTCCATAGCCAAGCTGCGACCTGTCCTCCCCAAAAGCTCCCCACCCACCCCAGCCCCAGCCGCCGCTGCCCCTGCCCCTAGCTGCGGCCTGGCATGGGGAAGGCGGGCAGGGAGCCTGCGGGCACCTTGGACGGAGTTCAGCCGCGGGGGAGCCCGGGAGCTCGGGGCCAAGCTCCTCTGCGCATTCGATCCAGAAGGGCTCAGCGCGTCTTCTGCAGCCTCGCACGGAGCCGCCAGCCGAGGGGGGGCGGTGGGAGTGTCAGGAGGGTGGGAGGAGGGCGCGCAGAGCGGGGAGAGCAAGGGGACGACGGCCCGAGGGCCCCTGTGGCGCGGGAGACCGGCGAGGATGTCGGGATGGAAATAAAGGACGGCTTTTGGAAATCCAAAGCGCGCGCTTCCTCCAGGCAAGTGGTGGCCGAGGCCAGCGGGGGCAGCGCCGCGGGGAGCAGGGCCCAGACCGCGCTACCAGCCCGAGGCGCCGAGCGCACCTGGCGGCGTCAGCACCGCGGAGAGCGGCGGCCCGCGGCCCATGGCCCGGCCAGCACCGCGGACAGCGCCGCGCGGCTCCGGCTGCTCCGCGTCCTCGGCGCGCGCCTTCGCCTCCCCCTTCCTCCAAAGACTGAACTTGTGTCACTTTTACTTCAGGGCTGGGTTTTTTTTGTTGTTCTTCTTCTTCTTTTTTTTTTCGTTGTGTTGTGTTTTTTTAAGGGGGCTCGCCCACGTGTCCCCGGAGTGGTGGCGCTGATTGGCTCGGGCCGATTTTGGGGGTGATGTCACGGCTCCGCGAGCGGCTTTCCGATTTCTTTTCAGTTTGATTAAAAGAGACACTGAATTAATTACAGCACAGACCCCACTGTTTGCCGGCGATTTCCACACGGTTTGCTTCCATTGGGCCGGCGATGAAGCCCCTAATGAGGGCGATTAGCCGAGGGGGTCCCCGCGCCGCGCCTCGAAAGCGACCCTGGCCCTGCCCCGCAGGGATCCGACTTCCCGACCAACGGTCTGTCGTAGGTTCTTTTTCCTCCCCCGTTTTTCTTCTTCCGGCGACAGGAAGATCGGAGAAAGAAACGCGTTATATAGAGAATCCCTTTCCTACTGCGCGGAAGAAAATTTAATTTATGTTGCTTTCGGGACGTTCCCGTTGGGTTCTAGATGCCTCCGGTGGAGGACAGTTTGCGACCCCTTCGGGCCCTGCAGGCCTGGTGTCCTGGGCCGTGACCTGCAATGACCGATGCTTTACCCTGGGGCGAAGGTGGAGACCGAGGGGAGATCGCGTCTGGAAGGGGGGGACCCTGCGTCCAAGGAGGCAGCGAGGGACAAAGAAGGCAATCACCCCCTCGGCCGCGCCCACCCGCCCCTGCGGCGCCAGTCCTGGGGAGCAGTTCTGCACCTCCACACAGGGCCACGCAGAGCTCCGAGTGCGGGGAGGCATCTGCGCCCCGCTGCCTTCTTACCCACGCGGAGCCGGAGCTAGCCCGGGATGTGTTTTAAAGGCAGCGCCGGAAACGCAGCCTTTTCCCCAGAAGGAGGCGGCCCCTGCCCTCCGCCCCCCAACACGGGGCTCCGGTTCCGCACCCTTGCTGGGTCAGCGTCTGGAGGTGCCAGGACCCGGGGCCCAGGGCCTGGGCAGACCTGTGTCCTGGGCCCGGAGCTCTTGAGCAGCCCGAGAAGTCCCGGACCTGGGAGCCAGCGGACCTCTGCACCTGCGCAGCTGGGCCCCAGGGCCCAGCCCAGGCCGCACCGGCCCAGCCCCGCTTCTGCTCCCCACCCTGGACCCCCAGAAAACCACCCAGGTCCCGGGTCAGGCACAGAATCCCCCAAACCCTGGACCCGGCGGGAAGCCCCTGAAACTCAGAGTAGCAGAAACTTTCTCCTCCCTCGGGCTGGGTCTGCCGTGGCCTCGCGCCCGACTACCCGAGCTCCCCCTGCGCCGGCCGGCAGATTGGAGGCGGCCACACTGCGGGCCGGGCTGGGGGCGAGGACCGGCGGCTCCCGGGGGACTCGGGCTGGGCTCGGCTGCAAGCTGTCGGTAGGCAGGAGAGGGGGTCTGGCCCCAGCTCTGCCGCCTGCCCTGGGTGCCCCCCACCACAGGGCCCTGCAGGCCAGTGGTTCGTTTTAGATTGGTGCATGGGGATTGGGCCATAAATCAAGCGGAGCTCGGGCTGCCCTGGCCCTGCCCTGCCAGCCCCCAGCTCGGCCGCTCCACTCCCCTCACTTTCCTCCCCTTCCTCTTCCCCTCCTTTGCTTCTCCCAGCCTCCGGGTGCATCCCTGGAGAACCCTCATCTACTGGGCATCCGGGGTCCCCCCAGGGTTATGACTCCCCCCACTCTGTGCCTGTTCATGGGTCCCAGCTCTGGCCCAGTGTGAAGACCCCAGGTCCCGAGAGAGTCTCGGCCCCTTCCAGCAGCGGGTCCCGCGTGGCCCCTGCCCCAGCCCCAGCCAGCCTGCTAGCAACGGTGCTGCTGGCAGTGCTCCGGCCTTTTCTGGCCTCTGCTCTTGGGCTGAGGCTTGGATCTGGGACCCAGTGACAGAAGCTAGGTAGAGCGGGCGGCAGGCACTGCTGCTTGATGCGATACAAGCAGGAGGAGGAGCAGTGGGGCTGGCAGGAGCCGCCCTGGGCAGGTGGAAAGGAGCAGAGGCCCCGACCTCCTGCAGCCCCAGCCAGCTTCTCCGTGCTGCTTGGAGGCCCAAGAATATTTTGCAGGTTGTTAGTATACGCTCATTAGCATTGAATTATCACTGTCTGTTATAAAATAAAACACTCTAGGTGTTTTATTTCGTTAGAAATCTATTCTAGGATTCAGCCCTCTCTCACTACATGGTTTTCTTCCTATTTGGGGATCTCAGCGCCACCGAGGAACCTCCTCTCTCCTCTCTCCCCCGTCATCTGGGTCCTGCATCTCCACCATCCACAGCTCAGGAGGCTGTGTGTGAGCTCTCCTGCGTGCCTGCTTAGCTGGGAAGGAGCCCAGGAACTGGCATTTTTCTAAGTATCTAGGAGATCCTTGGTCTTCCCCACCCTTTGACAAAGAAACCTAGTGGGTGGGGAGGCTATCAGGGCCGTGGAGCCCAAAGCAGCTCCGACTGAACCTTGGCCTAAGCTCTCTGAACTGGACGGGTCTCTCAGCTCCCTGCCCTTGGCACTTACTGGGGCTTGACAGAGGGGTTCAGAGGCCTCAAGGGAAGAAGGGAGGACCTTCGTGTGACCAGGGCACTTCTGGGGCCGGGCTCCTGGGAGCACAGGACTGCCTCTCTGGCATGCAGTCCCTGGCTCTGGTTTCTGTGTTCAGGACCCCACACCCTTTCCCCCAGCTTCCTACTTCCTCTGGAAACCTCTCCCTTCAAATTCCAGGCCCTGCTTGCCCAGTCCCTTGAGACTGCTCTCTTTGAAATATTTAAGCCTCTCATGGTCCCAGAGCCCTGGCAGCTCCAAGACCAGCCACTGGCAGAGGTGAGACAGGGCAGGTGGGTGCCCCGGAGGCACCGGCCCTGGATGCACGTTGGGCAGCTCATTTGTTCCCTTGGGGTCCGAATCCTTCCCTACCCAGGGCTCTGGGCTTCTCCCAACCCCACCTACCTCTCTACCTGGGGCTGGAGGAAGGGTTGTCTTTGCCCATTTTGCTCACCTGGCTCAGCAGACAGAGCCACAGGCCAAGAGGGCAGTGCTGAGTATCTTTTGAGAATGGTCCTGGGGTCTCTGCTCATACAGGAACTGTGGCCCGAAGCCACCATTCAGGCTTCTGAGCAGCCTGGCCTGGGGCAGCATAATGGGGCTGGGGAGGTCCAGGCTACCACTCCGAAACTGGCCAGAGGAGTTAGAATCCTGGCTCTGGAATCCAGGGCTGGGACCTTGGTACATCAAGAAATCCTTATTTAAAATGTTGGCCTTTCAGCCATCATGGATTTTTAAATACTGATTTTAAGATATTGCATTAAAATATTGTCTTGATCAGTCAGGCACCATGGTGTGGACCTGTAATCCCAGCACCTGGAGGCTGAGGCAGGAGGATCCACGCGAGTTCAAGGCCAGCCTGGGCTCCATAACGAGACCTTGCCTCAACAGCCCACCACCACCAAAAAATAACAATATAAAATGTCTTGGCTACTGAGAGTTTTTTTGTGTTCCCTTAAATTTTGTACCTTAGGTAAATTTTGAATCCCAGCCCTTCCCTGTGACCCCAAAGTTAGGTAGGGTTTTATTCTTTTTAAGCAAATTGACTTGTGAACTTCTGGTTTTTTTGAGCTATAAGATGAGGATGATGTTACTCAACTCCCATGGTTGTTGTGAGGAGTCTTTGCACTTAGCTGAAGAATAGTCTTGCAGAGTAGCAATTATGCAGTTCTCAGTAGGACCACCGCTACTACCGGTGCGGGTTTCCTCTCCAAAGGTGAGAAGCCCCAGGCCTGTCACCCCAGCACCCTCCCAGCCTGGTACCCTTCTTTTCCCAGGGGGTCTTTTTCTTTGTTTGTCTTTAATTTTATTTATTTATTTGGCAGTCTAGAGATTGAACCCAGGACCTTCACATGGAGCTCCACCCCCAGGCCTTCTTCTCTTTTTGAGACAGGGTCTCACCAAGTTGCTGGGCTGGGCTCAAACTTGCAGTCCTTCTGTCTCAGCCTCCCAGAGTGCTGGGATTACAAGCATGCTCCAGCTTTCAGGGTGGAGGATCTGGGTAATGCAGGCTGGCCTGGGCACCAGCACCTCTCTGCTTTATAAACAGACGGATGCAGGAGGACCTGGGCACAGAGCAGCCCTTAGGGCCCGGCTGTTGGATGAATTGAAGCCGCTGGTGCTCCTGAAGCCAGAAGAGAACTCTGTCCTCCCTCCCTGCCTCTCTTCTTTCCTTTCTTCCTACCAAGCACGTATTCTATCCTGCACCTCACGCCAGACCCGGGGAGTTGGGAGCGGGACTGAGCAGGCCACCCCCATGGAACTGGAGGATGTGTGGTAAGCGCTGCATGACCCCCAGTGCCAGGGTGTGGCTGCCTACATGCCCAGAGCCCCGGGTTCCACCCCAGCACAGCAAAGAGAAAAAGGAAAAATCCCTACCTAGAGAATCCCCATTTGTAGATTCAAGTGTGTAATCTACCTGCATTTGGCTTCAGGAGCCTGTAGAAAACCCAGGCCACCTCCCCACCCCATGTGATTCCAAACATCCTTTTTTTTTTTTTTTTTTGAGGAATAAGAAATGCAGCAAAAAACTGAAGCAGGTGAAGGCACTCGGTTGTAGGTGCAGCACAAGTCCACCTCGGCTTCTGACAGACAGGTTTGCTTCCTATCAAGGAGAGCCGTCCTCTCCTCACCCTTCTGTCCGCTGCTTCCTCCCGAGCAGCAGTGAGCAGCGCTGGCTGCAGAGCTGAGATGTGCACATCAAAAAGCCAAACCCTGGAGGGGCCCGGGCGGGACCTCCTGCTTCCACTTCCCGGAGCCCAACAGGCAGAAAGCAGAAATGCCCCCTGCGGAGGGTCCCCCTGAAACCAGGCTCCTGAACCCCTCCTTCCTCTGACCAAGAAAAACGTTACTTGTCTGGTGTGTGAGCAATGAGGGAAAGAGGTTTGAGTGCCGGCCTGGAAACCTGGTAGGCACCAGGCTGAGAGGAAGGCTGCCCTGCCCGGAGCCTGTTCGGGCCCCGGCCTTGCTGCCAGGTGCTCTGCCACCCTCCCCCAGGCCCCATCAGCATGGCACTGCCCCTCGAGCCTCTGGACTTCAAGAACCTTGGGCAGACAGGGCAGGGAGGGCCCAGCCCAGCGGCTGGTGGAGCAGGGCACACAGGCTTCTTTGCTTAGCGGGCTGTCACCAGGAAACACAGCCAGGGGAATGTCCCCAGATGCCAGAGGTGGGGACAGGAGAAGCATCTCACGGGGCCCCGGCTGTGTGACGGGAGGACTTGGGGTGGGGAGCCAAGCTCCCCATTTCCTGCACCTCTAATTGAGAAGCAGTGTTGGGGGTCAGGCCCCTTGCCGAGTACTGGATGTCCCGGCTGGGGACGGCTTGTCGGCCTCCCCTACGGAGTGGGCGCCTGTCTGCCATGTGTGAAGTCAGAGGGATGGTGCAGTACAGAGGTTAACGAGATGAACCCCTCCCTGGGGCTCTGTCTGGGTCCTGAGGGGGGCAGTTGTACACCCCCTCCCACACCAAGCCAGGCCCAAGTGAGGACAGGACAGCCAACCAGACTGGAAGCAGGCGGACTCTATGGGCTCAGTGAATTAAGGAGAGCAGCAGAAGGCAGGCAATGGGCGGAAGGCCGCCTCCGACCAACTGGCCAGTGGGTGGCGCTGTAGGACAAGGAGCCGAAGGTCTCTGCCAAGAGGCTGCGGGCCTGGGCGGGCTGGGGACCCTGGGGCCGTCTGGGCGCTGCTCTCAGCCCATTTGTCACAGCCCTAGCAAGACGCACAGCTGCGGGGGTGGGGGTGGGGGTGCCGGGCACACTTTCTGGAGAATCAAACCCAATTCTGGGTCCTTCAAGAAACTTCTGCCTCCCTTTGCCCTGGGGTTTCTGGAGCAAAATGGTGGCCCCAATTCAAGACATCTTTTCCTTCTTGACACAGCTGTCCCTTGGAACATCCCGTCCTGGTCCCTCATCCCTCACAGGTAGGGTATTCACTGTATCAACCAGGTTGTACTCCAACGGTGCCTCAGCCTCCCAGAGTGTTGGGATTGAGGTTGTTGTCATCAAATTTAACTTGAGGACCCATGAGATACCTCGGGTTCGGTCTGCAGAGAAGTCAGGACACTTGCTCAAGGTCATGCAGAAGTGACTTGGCAGGGCTGGGTACTGCCTACCGAGGCCTAGCTTGGTGCCCCGGCCCTAAGTGCTTGCTCCTCTGTCCCAGAGCTGCACTCAGCTTCTCCATGTGAGTCAGGGTGGGTTTAGTGAAATGGGGTAGGGGGTGTTCCCTTTGGCTCCCAGGGTGAGAGGGGGGCTTCAGATCTATGATGTAGGGTCCAGTCCTTCAAGGTCCGCTGGTTCCTAAGGGTCAGTGTGTGGCACCTTTATGAACCAGCTTTTTTTTGAAATAAGATCTTGCTATGTAGCCCAGGCTGGCCTTGAACTTGTGGCAATGACCTTGCCTCAGCCTCCCTAGTGCTGGGGTGACAGGCGTGGCCACCACGCCCGGCTGTGAACTGAACAGCTTCTGATGGGTGTGTAGTGGGGGGGCGGGGGTGATGGGAAACCACACTCATAGCTGTGTTGTCCTAGTCCCCGGGAGGCCACCAGAATGGGCGTCTCCCTGCCAGGCCCAGGGACTCCCAGATAACATGAGCGTGTGCTGATGTCCACCTGTGGGACCTGGACCCTGGGGCTTTAGATGCTTCCCTTCTCCATGGGGGACGGGCAGCCCCGGAGTAGAAATCACTGGAATGGGGCCAGGCTTCTGCGGAGAGGTAAACCACTGCGTGACTCTCCCCGGCTTTTTCCAGGAAGGTCTGGAAGGAGGGACGGAGCCATGACAAGGGTTTTGGGCAGAGCAAAGCAAGCCCGAAGCCCGTAGGAGTGAGCAGCTGCAAGGCAGGAGGTGGAGCTGCAGACGGACTCCAGGTTTTTGTCCCACAGCAGCCAGGCTGCTCTGCAGTGACTGGGGCCAAGAGGACCAGGGTGGATGGGGCTGAGGAGGGGACATTTGGGCCTGGCTGGAGCCGAGGCTTTGCAGGCAATGTGGATGGTTTCTGACGGACTGGACGTGAGAGGTCGGGGAACAGCGAGGGAAGTTTCTGGGCTCTAGCAGCAGGGTGGATGCAGATTTTGTTTATGGCGTGGGACAGGCACAGGGGAGGCAGGTTTGGTGGGGAAAAGCCACATGTTCTGTGTGGACCACGTTGCTCAGAGGTGAATAGCAGACACCTAAGTGGGGCCGGCAGGGGCGTGGTCGGATGGACGCTGGTGGAACCCCAAGAACCCCAGATTGCAGACCAGCGCTAGGGACCCCTGAGGCCGGAAGTGGTATTGGAAGGCAGGGGTCTCAGGGTCCTGGGCCTCAGGATATCTCTGGATAGCAACGTCAGCATCCGCCGGGCCCGTTTAGCTCACCCGACACTTAGGCATTGACTGGTTTTCATAGAAAGACACCATAGGAAGAGGACAAATGGCCTTTTCCACTTAAAACACATCCGCATGTTGTACGTGGAGAAAAGTCAGAGAACCTGCAGAGAGGTCGAAGGAAGGCGTGCCAGGAGTTTGCCAGAGAAGTCCCGCAACTGCATGCCTTCAGCCTCGAGGACAGGCCACATCCGGTTGGTCTCCATGGAGAAGGCCACCGGCCTGCATGATTGACAGGGCCCCAGCCAAGGGCTGGAGGCTGCCCCGAGTAATGAACCATTGGCTCTTCCTGCTGTCAGGGTCCCAGAGAAAGAATTCCGCTGCCGTGAGACACCAGCCATCCCAAAAAGAGCAATTAAAACTCATGTTTGGAATATAAAGTGAGGGCTTTCAAAGCTCGTCAGTGTCTCGCGTTCCGCAGGAGGTGCACGGGTTGTTCTTAACCCTAATGGGCAGAGTCGGGGATTCTGCCCTTAGCTGGGGCAGTTAAGAGCTGCCTTGTAATTTGGGTTTCTCTTGTCAGGTGAGGGCTGGGGAGAAGTGGGGGGAGCAGACCCCGGGAGGGGAGCCCCCAGGGAGAGGCTCTGGGGTAAGTTGAGGCTCGTGTTGGTGAACCCAGAGTGGGGTGCAGGGTGGGGGGTGCTCACCAAAAAGAATGAACCCTAGAGCAAGAGCTACCCGAGGCCCTGGCACCACTGGAAGCACCACCGGAAGCCAGAGAAACAGGGAGGGGCTCCCTGGGGTTGGGTAAGCGAGACAGACAGGCGAGTCCTTCGGGGAACTTCCACTGTGCAGGGTACTCCTCATGAGGCGGGACTAGGCGTGGGTGTAGCTGCCCATCCGCAGGGTCCCCTGGCGCACAGCACGCTCTTCCTGGTGGGCTCTGAATGCTCTCTGGCGATCGGCCTCGGTGGGGAACGTATCAAGATGGGGACCCACCTGCCAACAGAAGAGGAAAAGGAGGCTGAGGTTCTTTCTGGCTGCTCCCACCCCCCTTCCCATCCCCTCCTTCGATCTTTTGTTTGTTTGGATTTTGGTTGTTTGTTTGTTTGGTACCGGGGATCAAACTCAGGACCTTGCACTTTCGAGGCAGGCACCAGAACCACTGAGCTAAATCCCCTGCCCTGTGTTTTGTTTTTTGAACAAGGGTCTCACTACGTAGTTCAAGCTGGCCATGAACTCACTAGGTAGCCCAGGTTGGCCTCCAATTCTCAGTGATCCTCCCGCCTCAGCCTCCTGAGTGCTGGGATGACAGGCGTGCACCACCAGGCTTCACAATCTTAGAGAATAATAAAAATAACTGTTTAAGGGGGGGGACGTCAGTGAAGTGCCATGAGGCCCAGCACCAGGCAGAGAGGGTGGTGAGGCCCAGGGCATTGAGGGCGGTGGCTGAGGGGCTGCAGCATGCTCAGTCGCTGCTGGGAGGATGTGTCAGAGCAAAGATGCCCCAGCAGGACGGCACCACACTCCACAGGACTCACGTCACCTTCACAAGCCACACAGGCCATGCACTGCAAGGCGACCCTGTGCTGCACAAGCTCCAGAATGTGTCCCTGCTTTTGCAGAAACCCTAACCAAACGTGCTGAGCCAGACTCGAGGAGGGGCAGCTTCTGTGTTTAAGATTTTAGGTCCTCAATTCTGCAGCCAGCCCTTCCCTCTTGAGACACAGCGGTGGGCAAAAAACTCTCCTGTCCCCTGGTGTCCCCTGTGTCTGTGAGCTCACCTCCAGGAGCGAGAAAGTCCCACCATTCCTCCGGGGATAACCTAAGGCATGGGGGAGAAGGGGCTTAGACTCTACACATCCATCCATCCGTCCATCCATCTGTCCATCACCTGTCTTTCCATCCACCCATCCGCTCCTCCATTCATGTCTACTGAGCACATCTCTGTGTCACACCGCGGGGATTCAGCCATGAACAGGGGAGACCCTGCTCCACCCTCATAAATTAGGGGGACAGCAGTGACAGTCGCTGGACCATCTCATTACAGTCAGCAGGGGCTGGGGCATGAGCAATGAAACCCCAACCCTCGAAGATCAGGGGAGGTGTCCCTGGAGAGGAGAAACTGATAGGAGCTCGAAGGATGTTCAGGGTCCCCGGGCACAGGGGACAGCCCAGGGCCCAGGCAGGTGTGGTCGGCCCTACAGTGACCCCATTTTTGCTCCCTAGGGGGTGTGAGCCCCTGCAGCAGGCACCTCTGCCCAGGATCAGCAGGCTGCAGTGGCGCAAGCTTCCTGGAGGTCCGTAATCCGGCTGTGTGATGTCCACTCCCAGTCAGGGTCCACTGACCCCAGCTAAATTCTCCCCTCTGCATTAACCGTGTGTTCTCCTCAGCACAGACATGCTGTGCCCTCACTCTCCCGTCCTGCCTGCCTGAACCTTGTTATCAGCAGGCGTCCGAGGCCTGCTCAGCTCCCCCTTCCCACACTGGTCATGAATAAACGCTGGACGTTCTGGGAGTCCTTTGTCCTTGCTGCCCAGAGCAGCTCAGATCAGCCTGAGACTCAGTTTCTCTCAAGGCTCTGTCGGTGAGCTTTTAATTCCCTCTTTCCTGTCTCTTGGATGTTGTACTGGCTCGCAGGAGGCCAGGACCCCTGCAGGGCTCTCTGGCAACTCCCATTACCCTTCCCTACAGGCCCCATGGGGACTCCATACCCTGGGAAAACACAGCCACAAGTCGCACATCCAGACCAGTGCAGGATTCAGGAGGCCTCGGACCCACAATGGCAGCGAGCCCCGGAGCCATCCAGGGGTGCAGAGTTTGGGGGTGCATAAGCCTCACCTTGGGCCTCTTGTAACCAACCCAGGCCAGAGCCAACCCCAGAGCTCCTGGTCCTGTAAATATCTGGTGTCAAATGCGCCATGATCGATCAAACGGCAACCTTGTGCTCAGCCCAACCTCCAGGGTCATAGAAATCCGCAAGTCACCTCACAGGAGTGAGGGGGACAGAGAAGACCCTTCATGTGGCTCTGGAAGAAACAGGCAGCAAAAGGGGCTTTTAGGGGCACCTTTGTGTCCCCCCAGGTGACAGCTCAGCTTTCGTAGGAGGCAGCATCAGCTCGGGGGGCTCTGTCCCTGCAGCCATCAGCAGTCAGGGTGCTGCCAGTCAGGACACAAGCATTTTACCCCTATGTGTGTTTTCCTGATAGCCATAATTACAAACCCAATGGAACCATGCTTATTAGTATGTCAAAATAACTTTCCATGTGGTTACAATGTCGCTGCGATGATAATTGTTCTCTTTAAAAAAATTGCAATAGCCTTATTGGGTTTAATGAGCATAAACAAACTGCACTGAATAGGTAGAGTTTGAGTGTGGACATCATGCCCAGGAAATCACCACTACAATCAAGGCAGTAACAATATTCATCACTTTCAAAAGTTTCCTTTTGCTCTGTTGGTATTTTGTTAAGAATAGTTTCTTTTCTTTGGTACCAGGGATTGAACTCGGGTCCTTGCACTTTCGAGGCAGGCAGTGAAACCACTGAGCTAAATCCCCGGCCCTCTCCTGGCATTTTTAAAGAACACAATTAGTACACACAGACTGAATAACAGCCACAATGTCCCTCAGTTTCAGAGCGCGCTCATTTTGCCCAAATGGAACTTTATACCCGCTCCTGGGCCCTCGGCAACTCCTCGACTCTCTGCTCCCCATCCTTGCTGTCCCTGCACAAGGATGCGCAGCTTTGGGGGCCTTGTCTCTGCGGTTCCCCCACATCCCTCCCTGGCCTTTGGAGGGGGCTGAACTGGTGACCGTGGCCTCATTTGGAGAAAAGATTTTTGCAGGTGAAGGTTAAACTGAAGAGCTCAAGAGGAGATCATCCCAAATTACTCAGGCAGGCCCTAACCTGAGGACATATCTTTTCTTTCATCTGTTTAGGGTAGATAGAGCTATTTTTATTCCAAAGGGCTTACAATCGATTCTCTGTCAATCAACTTTATTTCCAAACAGAACTCCCCATATAAACAAAGCCAGGGCACGTTAAAGTGTGTGACGGGGTCAGTTTTTCCAAACATCGCTAACAAATAGAGACGGGAGAGGTGCCAAATGCTGTGACCAGGACATGGGTCTTTCAAGACAAGGAGGGGCATGTGAAGCTGGAGCCCGGGACGGAGCGCCAGGCCAGGGCCTAGAGGTGCCAGGAGCCACCAGAGGCTGGCAGAGCCAGGAAGGCCCCTTCCCTGGCCTATCAGGGAGCGCAGCCCTGTCCAGGCCTTGGTTTGGGCTGTCTGTTCTTCAGAGCTGGGAGAGAGCTGGGTGTGCTAGCGCACACCTGGGGTCCTGGCCCTCGGGAGGCTGAGGCAGGCCAGCCTGAGCTATCTAGTGAATTTGAGTCCAGCCTGGACTACACAGCAAGGCCCTGCTTTAAGCCTCCCAGCTTGTGGTCATTTATTTATGGACGCTCCCCGCGGCTCAGCCCTGCGTGGTGCCAGCAGCTGCGCCAGCAGTGGGTGGCCGTGGCTTGTGGCCTTCACTCACACCTTGGTCCCCAGGGGGCTGTGAGGGGGTGGAGGCCCTGAGAAGCTGCCCAGCTGAATGCAGAGGACAAAAGAGCACCCGAATTAGAATTTTTCTTCTCAGTTTTTTGTCTGTCTTGGGTTTTGGAGACAAGGCCTCACTGTGTAGCCCAGGCTGGCCTCAAACTTGCAGCGATCCTCCCGCCTCAGGCTCCCTAGTGCTGGGATCACAGGCGTCCGCCACCACGCCAGGCTGAAATTTTCTCTTTGCAGTCTGCACTGACATAGCAACTGCCCCAAAGCCGAGACATCCATCCATCCATCCATCCATCCACACAGAAACATGGATTAGGCACCCACTGTGTCCCCAGGGCAGCTGCTCCAGGCACTCGGGGTCCCACCGGGCCGGCGCTGCAGGATGTTTAAGTGAAGCCACCTGGGTGAATCAGGTGTGAGTGAGGTGGACAGGGCGCACTGGCTGGGCGCTCAGGGCAGCTTCTCTGACCAGGTGGACTTGCACGCGGCCCGGTAGAGCTGGGATGAGGGCCAGGAGAGGGGTCCTGCAGTGTGGGCAGAAGCAGGAGGGTCGGTGCCTCTGGGGCTTGGCTTGTCCCTGAGTCCGAGGCAAGAACCAAGGACAGGCTCAGTGGCTGGGCCTGAAGCACCCGCAGGCTGCGCTCTGCAGGTGGAAAGACTTCGGGTCCCCCACGATTCTGCCCCAGACTGGACCCAGGGCCGCAGGGCTTGAGGCACCCAGCTCACGGCCCCTTGCTCACTGCTCCCAGTGAGGCAGGGAGGGCCATGGACAGCACATCCACCTGGCCCCGTCCCACACGCACACGCACGTCCCCGCTCAGCTGCACACAAGGGGCCTCGGCACGAGCCAGCCCTGGAGTCCTGCGTGGTCGCAACCCCACGGTGCCCTGGAGCCCGGGTGAAGCGCCATGCAGTAAGGAATTCCTTCTGTGAGGCTTCTAAATTAAGCCATCTTCGGTCTGTCTCCGCCTGGAGCTAAGAAATTGTAACGGCTTTGGCAGGAGACAGCTTTGCTGAATGGAGCTGCAAGTCGCTTGAAGGTCAACACAGGTAAATAAGAGGCCAGCGCGGCCACCCGCCAACAGCCCCAGTCAGTCAGGGGGCAAAGGAGAGGGTCCCCTTCCAATGTCCAGACCAAAAGAGCCCTGCACAAATGCCCGGGGACCCCAGCGAGCAAGACAGCAGGGCCCCGCATCCCAGCCAGGAGTCCTAGAGAGTCGCTCTACTGGCGAAAGACGGTTACACAAGAGTGTGACTCCGGACTCTAACTGTCTGGGGCAGAAAGGTTCTCTGGGCAGGAAGGGGAAGCTTGTCTGGAGGAAAGAAGAGGAGAAATGTCCCAGGCAGTGGAGACCAACCAAAGGCCGGAGGTGGGAGGAACTGAGAGAAGCAGCGGAAAGGAGCGAGCCAGTGTGGCCAGTGTGGCTGGCTGGGGCCAGCAAGGTGGGGCAGGAGGCAATCGGCTGTCTGTCAGGTCTTAGGAGAGACTTGTGTTCGAGGGCGAGGTCGTCTGAGGGAACCACAGTTCCCTTTGCCTCCCGGCAGCCTCGTCATGGAAGATGCTCAGAAAGTCAGGGTTGACCAAGAACCCGGGGTCATCGAAGGCAGCTGTCCCAGGCTATGGATGGAGAGCCCGAGGCCCAGCCGTGGGAGGCGGCTGTCCCAGGTCACCACACTGTGCCCATTTGTCCCTTTGACTACGTTTCATTAACTTTGCTCTTAACTCCATTTCCTCCTGTCGTTGAGTTTGAGCTGCTGTTCTTTTTCTGGCGTACAGAGTTCTCTTAGCCAGTTACCTTTTCATCTTTATTTTCCTAACATGAGCATTTCTATTCCAGCAGCCACTTTCGCTCCAAGTCCTCTTCTAGCTAACCTCACCAGGCCTGGGTTTATTTTTGCTCAGTCCTTTTCTTTTCTTTTTTTTTTTGGTACCGGGGATCGAACTCGGGACCTTGCGCTTGCGAGGCAGGCAGTGAAACCCACTGAGCTAAATCCCCGGCCCTCTCAGTCCTTTTCTAATCTAATTTCTATCTCATCTCTGTTTGGGTTTCCTCTGATCTCAAAGTTATTTATAGGAAGGCTTTTAAATATGCAGGCAATTCTATCAGTTACATTTGTTATTGATTCCTTTTTTTTTTTTTTTTGGTACCAGGGATCGAACTCTGGTCCTTGCGCTTGCGAGGCAGGCGTCGAAACCACTGAGCTAAATCTCCAGCCTTCTGTGTTCCTTCTTTTATTTGATGAGCATTAGTTGAGCACCTACTACGTAC